CGTCTCCGTTGCCACTCCTCCTCCCGCCGCCCCAACCTTCATCTGATATCGTCAATTTCACGTGAACTGAAAGGTTATCTATCCCTTCATTGAACTCCATCGCCGCCGCCGCAAGCCGGAAGATCGTTAGAGAGATCGAGCAGGCGTAGTGGGATAATGAACCCGTCATACTATATTCGTCAGTGATCCGGCGTGAAAAATTGATGGTGTTTCGGACCATCCGAAATTTGAATTCCGGCAATTTGAAATTTCACGACGATAGGATGAAAATTGCACAGCGCGGATGGATGAAATTGCACGGAGCGGGTGATGAATGAAGCCGACGGCGGGGTTAGGTGGGGATTGGGTGGGGACAGCGTGAGTTTGGGGGATAGGGTTGATGTATGTTAAAGGACTTTAGTTTGAAATTTGACAATACTAGGGACTCAATTGCAATTGTAGAAATTTTAATAGAGTTTATTTTAATTGATAGGTTTAATGTATAATTTACTAAAAGTTAACTGTACAGTAATATGTGGTGCAATGCATTAAGAAACGCTCATTAGCACTTTAAATGCTTTTTACATATCTATTATTATATAAAGAGACAACCTAAATAATTCAAAAATAGTAACTAAAAAATCATCTAAATTCCCGCCTAAATATATTACCATACAAAGTAAATTATTTTGAAATTTTTCAAAAGTTCCGCCCAAATAGATTTGAATTTTGTTTTGTAAAAATTTAAATCCAAACATTTTGAAAAAAGATTCATCTTTATCCTAACATCCTTATCTTTAGCTAGCTTCTACATTACCATGGTCAACGAAAATGTTTTGGTTTACAGTATATTATATTAAGTTTAATTGGATACAATAAAGTGAATTAATTTTGAAAAAAAAAAAAAATTGATTGAATTTGGTTGGGTGGTATTTTGAGTTTGTATCAAAATAATATTTCAAATATAATTATTAAATTTAATGTGATATAAACGTAATAGATAAGTGGTTAAAGTGAAGAAATTTTTAGTGGATGAATAGTTAATTAGAATTAATGTCATGAGAATAATTAATTGATATCATTTAATTAGACTGAAAATATTGATAATAGTTAGGTTAAATTAAATTTAAGTTAGATTTTGAGTTAAAAAATTATATAATCAATCATAATTGAATATTACATATTCAATCAGTCCCATAACGATACGAGAATTTTAATTCAAAAAAAAAAAATTCAAATTATACGTATAAACATTATTAATAATTACATCATGCAAAACTTATAATTGTAACATGTAGTGTAAACAAATACTTAAATATAAGTATTAGCCACAATTATATTATTTTAGAACAAAATGATAATGTTATTTTATAACACTAATATAATACTCTATCGTTTCGAAAAAAAAAACACTAATATAATACTCTGTACTACACGGGTACTTAAATATGTTAATATTTGTTCAATAAAACTTAAAATAATTTACATTTTAATTTTGTGAAGTTATGTATGATGAATATGCAACTATAATAAATAAATAACAAATTGATAATTAATTAAAATGGTGCCCGTATTTTACACTAAATTTGTCAAAGAGATATTTTTAATTATACTTCAAAAAAATATTCATGTATAAAAACTAATATTATTTATAACTTCATATATTTTATTCATTTGTTTTTTAAATAAAACAATTTTTATTGTATTGTGATTATATTTATATTTATAGAGTCAGTATCTCACGTTTATTAATTTTCAAGTATTTTAAATTCATATAATTAATATTTAGGACTTACGTAAAAATGTATTATTTTCTAACTTTACAAAATACAAAATTATGCTATATATTTAATTATGATATTCTTTATATTTAATGTTTTAAATAATATAAAATATTTAAATTGAGAAATAATACTTTATAATATTTTAAAAATTAATTTATGTAATTTTATCCAAAATTTATGAAAACATTTTAAAATTATTATTTTATGGTGTATTAATGAATTAAAATTTTATTATCTATCTATTAATATATAAAAAAATAATGATATTTATTTGAAATAGCAACTAAAAATAAACAAAAAAATATTTGATTTTCTGGCTATTTGATATTTATGAAAAAAAAAAATAGCAACTAATTAATGTACAAAATTATTTTGGTCAAATATTGCGGCTATTACCTTTATTAATTGCATGATTTTAATTTAGAATATAATATATTGACAAAACTTGCATCTATTACCTTTATTAATTGAATGGTTTAAATTTAGTATATAATATATTGAAGAAAACTAAAAAAGGTTTTTATTTACAATAAAAAATAAAAAAGTAATTGTTCATAATTTGCGGGTCAATATTAACTTTGACGTAAATGAAATAGTCAATTATTTATAATTTAATAAATTACTAATTAATTTACAGGTCAATATTAAATTAGACGCAAATGAAATAGCCAATTATTTATAGTTTAATATATTACTCAACTACTTATTTTTTTTAATTTGAATAGTTTATACAAAAATAAATTATTTTAATTAATGAAATGATAAAATTTATACCAATACTTATATCCACATAAGTTGTTAAATTAATGATAACTTTTTACCAAAATAACTATTTTATGGAATTACATTATAGTCCAATCGAGTTTATGAACAAAAAAATTGAAATGATACTTATTTTGAAGCGAGTATAATGTGATTTATTATCATTATGTGCACCACACAGGTTGTGTATAATTTTAAATAAATATTTTTATGTAATTTTTTACAATTAAACTTTATATAACATTTTCAATAAATTATAATAGGTAATTGATTGCATATTTTTTATTTATAAATATTATAATAAGAATTTTTAATTTATAAATATTAGTTAATATCTCTTACCCGTGCATTGCACGGGACTCATACTAGTTTCTTTAAACATATATATTATTAAATAAAAATATTATAAAATATTAAGATAGTACTGGACATAACATTTCGACTATTTAAATTACACATTATAATAAAAATTACATAAATATTAAATAAAAACATTAAAATACTTTAAATATTTTTTTAAAACACATATGCAATTCAAATACACATTAATGTTAGAACAATTGCACACTAACGACTAACATATTGCACATTAGTGACTAACAGACTGCACTA